CCTGATGATCAGGGAGGGCGAGCATCTTTTCATACACCAGTTGGCTATTTGTATGTTTTCTTTGGATAAATATCTATGCAAGTTGTTTGCGTATTTTTAAATTTGGTTATTTGGGGGTTTTGTTTGTTTTATTTTTGTGTGATTTTTTTTTTTTTAAATCAGGGCAGGGCACCTAAGTATATACCCCTTGATCATTCTTTGTACATGGATAGGGCTTACGGATCTTGAATGTCGTTGTAGCTTTATTTACCTGGCCTGTTTGCCTGGGGAGACCTGGGTGGTAGTGTCTTTAGGTCTTTCCTTTTAGACTGTGAGATTCCACAGAGAAGGTCCCTCCAGCCTCCTGCCTGGAGGGCACGTGCACTCACGATGGACAGTCCTCTGGGAGCTGAGTCCGGGAGGGGGGCTGCAGGTCTCAGTATTCATCACATCCACCTCCTCATCCTCCTCCTCTCCTCAGTATGGTCCCCTTGCCCCAGTCCAGGGGCCTGTCTAGAGACGGAAGTTCTGCTCTTCTGCTGAGGTCGAGGGGGGCAGTTATCATCCTGTTTGGTGCTGGGGAGGCATTGACCTGGGTATCTGCTTCTTAAATGGGTTTTCTACCCCCCACCCTTGTTTTTCCAGTCACCCCTTTCTTCTCACTTGAAGAAGAACCTGGAACGTGCACTTCTGAGAATGTTCAGTGTCAGCGGCGTGGCTCCTGTGGCTCTCCCTTGCTGCTAGTTTTGTGTCTGGCTCCAGCCAACCTCCCAGCTTCTAAATTTGGTGCTCTTGTCTCCTCTTTCCCTGTCTTTGTAAAAATCCCTTTATTGTTACCGTAACATAATTTTTGCAGAAGATAGAGTTGTGTGTTTGTTGACTTTGCTATCTTTAACCGGAAGTCCACTCTGCCCTTTCCCCTCGGTCATGGGTAAGCTGGGTCAGTTGTTGGAAGGTGTCAGGTATGTACTATGTGACAATGGAGAAAATACTTAATTTTAATTTTCTTTAAGTGACCCTAAGAGAGCTTAACCCTTTATCTGTTTTTGTATTTAAAGGTCTGAGTCATTACTAGGAAAGTGAGCGTTTTTACCTTAATGAAGTTCTTCTGCTTCTGTTATAGGTTCTGCTTTCCAATTTGGCAGCAGCACTACAAGTTTCAATTTCACAAACAATAATCCATCAGGAGTATTCACATTTGGTGCGAATCCCAGCACACCTGCAGCCTCGGCCCAGCCCTCCGGCTCGGGGGGCTTTCCATTTAACCCATCTCCAGCGGTGTTTACTGTGGGGTAAGAAAACTCTGTTGAAATGGAGAATTTAACATGATGAGGGCATGTACGTGTATTTCAGCATGTGTGTTTTTAAAGTCACCAAGGTGCTGTGCAGTTCAGGTAAAATCAAGTATGTTCTCCATCAGTGTGCCATGTTACAATTTTGGAGGATCATAGCCTGGGAAAAACAGCAGGAGGGTGTGTGTGGGGGGTGGATGTTGAGGGTGTCACGCGGAACAGAAAGCACTGCTTGCTTGAACAGTGTTCCCCGTTACTGGTCACACTTAGTGTTATGATTGTGAAATTTTCTCAGCATCACGTCACATTATGAAGTTTTTATTTTTCACAGGTCAAATGGGAAAAATGTGTTCTCTTCTTCTGGAACTTCAGTTTCTGGTCGCAAGATAAAGACTGCTGTTAGACGCAAGAAATAAAGGTCATGGTGGTGGTATTCACACCGTTCTAACAACAGCTGGTGGCCTGCTTTCACATACTGACTTGTACTGTGTGCTGGGTTATCTGAACTCAGATCTGCCCAAGGACTTCTTTAATTGTGGAATTCTCCTCCTTTTTCTTTCTTTACAGAAGCCCCAACCTCACCTCTCCCACCTCCTTTTTAAAAAATAATAGCTAGACTGGTGACTGATTCTCAGCAAAAATATTTTATGATCCAACAGATTATTCACTGATTTGGCCTTGGCTGGCTGAACCCAGGATAGAGCCTGCGCGGAGAATGGCTTTGTATAGACTTCTTCGTCTGCACCACGTGTGCGTTGACATGCGTTTGTGGAACGCATCGAAATTGTAATTATATCTGAGGAATTCTGTATAGATTAGAGGATATTGAAATGAATGATTTCTATGCTGAGTTTGTGCTGGTGTATGTGTGAAGTGAGTGAGTTGGGTGTATTGTGCACTAAAATTTTCTGATAGAAGAAGCCTGATTAAAGAATGGTCCGTGGTAAGGACTTGTTAGATCTAGTTCGTTCTCCATTTAATAATTATATGCTATTTCTATATTGTCATTCTTCTGACTATCACCTGTCTTGCCTTTTTCATTATTTTATTATGAAACTTGTGTAAATACAGTTTTGTTTCTGTACTTTTTTGGCATAACATAAATCTGTGAACTTGAAATTTTAATTTTGTGTTAGAAAATTTTTTTGTTGTTTGTTTAGTCTTGTCTCAGATTTTATTATGTAAATCCCATTATTCAAAGTTGCCTAAATCCATTTGGAAATCTTTAAAAAAAAATTGGGGATTCTTAAAGTGAATTTATTGGCTTTTCTGATCCAGTTTTGTTTGGACCAAAAACCAGTATTGTACAAAGTATTAAGCATATATTTTTATATTTACTGAAATGGACTGTGGTGACTTTGGATAATAAGGAAAAGTTTAATATTAAAGCCATGTTTATTACAGTATAATTAACATGTTAAACCATGGGATAAATGCCATCAATAAAAGATTATGAAATACTTTTTGTTCTAGTGTTAACTCCTAGTGAAGGTACGAGTGTTAATGAAAGGAAACCTTTTTATAAAGGTTTACAGTGGTCAGAAGAGAAATTCCAAAGAATACATTGAAGTGATTGGGACAACTCCTAAGTGAAGGAGAAGTGTCAGAAGGTAGCCTGCTTTTTGTCTGGTGCTAGGAATCATGCCTACTTTGCATATAAAGTGACATACCTTTTTAAAAGTTGAAAATAAACACACACAACCGTTTCTGTTTGTACTTGTATCTTCCTTGATAGGTGACTGGACAGTGTTTCTTGATCGAGTTCTTAGAGGCACATGCCCAAAGTAAACCCCCCAAAACTTCAGTGACCCTTTGTGGAATTTCTTTTGGATTATTTTACCAAATTTTTTTTTTAACTAGATTTCTCTCCTATGGTCCATAAAGGAGCTCTTGGGACAGCATTTGATAATCTTAGTCTTCAATTTGAATGTACAGCTATTTTGTGGCGACTTTATTTTGCTACACTTCTGGTTGAGTCTAAATTCAGAACTTTAAAATGTTTAGGGCTGTATTCAGGATTTAGGACTTCCGTTTTCATCTTGATTGCTGTAACTCTCGGGCTGCACGTGGCAGCTGTAGAATATATTCGTGGTAGCAGCTCCATCCTCAAACCTTCCCGACTTAGCCCAGCAGAGGTATCTCCTTACCAGACTGGCTCAGGCTGTAGACCCACTGCTGACCCACTCCCTGCAGCTGTAACGGCAGCCACAGCCAGGCTCGGGTTCCATGCTCCGTACGCAAGTGGAAGTCGAGCGCTGTTTGTGGAAGGGGAAACACGATGGCAAGAAAACAACAAAAGCCCACTTTCTCAAGCTGGACCAGTGAGGAATTTAACTGAAAATAATCTCCGAAGGTAAGAAAACCGTATGCAGAAAGACTGAATAACCAGGTATGTTTATACAGTTTGGTTGCTTCAGAAGGGGGTCACCCATGGTCGCCCGTTCTCAGTGCACATCAGCATGCTTGGTGGTGGGGGTGTGTCAGATGTACATGCTAGGTCTTCCTCACCAGAGATTCGTGACTCACTGGATCTAGATAGGGTCCAAAAATCATTAAATAAGCGCCTGGAAGACTTCGGATACACGCGGTCCAGGCACACCACTTTTTTAAGTCCTGGGTTGTTTTGATTAAGTTACAGTTTGGGGCATTAAGAAAGAAAAAGTACAATTCAGACAACGGAAATAAGTCTTTAAACTAGCTGTTAGTACTTGTTGCAAATTTCTTTCCTGAAGTTGTTAATGTAATTAGGATTTTATTACTTGAAATGTGTTTTTTTTCCTCCTACCCAGTTAGTTACATGAAGATTTTTCTTGTAGCTCTTCTGTGTAAGATCTCTTCTGCCAGAGTTCGGTAGGTATTTGTGAGAATTCTTCCACACGTAGGTGTATTTTTGATGTATTTGTGGGAGAGGGAGAGCTCCATGTGCGTCTGTTCCACCATCTTGAAGGCTTCCCCTTGTTAAGTGTTGAACCAACTTTTAACAATTTGTAACCAGGCTGTAAAGCTTCCTGGTGCAGCCCTTGAGGAAGGACTTGTGTTTAATTGTATTAGTATGTCATTGGCTGGCCTATTTAGTGGAAACTGACAAAGTTGGTACAGTAAAGTTGTGCTGGGGCTGGCTACACACACCAGCAGCACACCACGTCAGAGCCTTCCTCTCCCTGTAATGCGGGGCAGCCTGCCTCAAGTCCACTGTGGTTCCAGAATGTGTAGTTGGCGGCTGAGCTTCTAACAAACACATCGTCTACAGGACTGAGACCAGGCCATAGTTTAACCACGTTTAAAGTTTATCCTTTATTATCTTTATCCCTCTTAAGGAACCTGTTTTCTATCCTATCCTAGTTTGTAAAGGTTAGAATGGGGGTGCTTGTAAAATCAGACTAGGATTACATTGCCCAGCTCAGTCTTTTACCTGCCATGAGACTGTGAATTCTGATTCCTCATGTGTAGTATAGGTCCCTTAATATCTTGCACAGTGGCTGGAAAGATTTAACAAGTTTAAGGGAAGGATAGGGTTAGCTGAACATTAAAAACATTACATTAAAAGCTTAGTCATCTACAGCTAACTTCTAAATGACTTGCTAAAAGAATGTATCTCAAAGTGCATGAGTTTTTGATAGACCTCTATTTCTGACAGCACTCTTCTGAAGGCAGAGGATGCTAGAGCAAGCTGTATTGGAAGCAAGTGATTGTAGAGCAAACCTCAAAGAAACAGGCAGAACACAAGCATTGGAGACCAGGTATTTATTGAGACAATACAAATTGGTGGCATACAAATTACTAAAAATAGAATGTTGAACTTTATTTATAGGCAGGCCATCAGATACTGTTTATGGCTCAAGCCCTACTGTAAAGAACTGCAAGGAAATAAACAGTTTGAGATGAGGAATTTCACCCAGGCAAGTACATACTGCAAAGATTTTGGCCTTTGGTTATGGAGGGTGGGAAATTGCAAGTAACTGAAATACTTGTCAGATTTTAGGAATACTGCTATTTATTCAGGCATATTTTTTGAAAGAAACAGTACTGTTTTCATAGGGATGAGTGTAGAATGAAAATATTTAATACTCCCCATACTCCTTAAAATGTCCTTTTATTCAAGTAGCAAGTGGTTTAAATTAACTTTCACCTCCTTTGTACCTTCCTTTTACTGGAAGTATTTATGCGTAAGTGAAACACTCAAGTCACTTAAGGGAACAAATCCTTCTTTTAGAGCTAAAACAGTTTTTACTGTCATTTGAAACAACTCATTTTTATAAATTTAGACAAAGTAGCCCTCAAATATGTTTTTTTAATCCTAAGTATTTGGGTGAAACTGGAAGGTGAATGTTCTGGTGGGAAGAAGTAACTTCTGAACCAGTGCCATGACTGTCGGAAGTGTTGGCTCTCTCTGGTCACAGATAAGGTTAAAAGCATGGCCTGCTTGCCATGTCTCAAACTCACCTACCGAGGCCCAGGATGCACTCAGTGTGTCAGACTTTTCTCAACGTGCACAAGCCACTCAGGCTACTTTTAGTAATGCGTAGATTTTCTAGATGCCTAAATGAACTGCCTGTTCCGTGGTTTCATGTGTGGCCTATTCACTATATTCAAGCTGTGTTCTTAGCATGAGTCCTAATTTTTGTTCCCTTATTTTGTAAAAGTGATGAATAATATTTATACTATGAAGACAACTTTCTTTTTGCCTTTTGAGGCTATAAAGCATCAGTATGAGAATTCTGTGTTGACACAGAAAAGTCAGCATTTCTATAAATGAAATACGCAAAATACTGAAAAATAGGCTCCACTCTCCTCAAGCCCTTCTTCCCCCTACAATCTGGGAATCAAAAATCTCCCGAAGTGCAGAAACAGACCTGGATTTTGTTGTAAAGGCAAAGTATATAATACTTCTTATTTGACAGGGCTCAACGGTCTAACCTGAATCCTGAACTTGAGCTAAATGCACCTATGTAGGTGCTAATATGAATCGCTGTGTATAGCAAATGTGCAATGTTTTAAAGTATAAAACAGACTGGACTACATTATTTGCTTTTGGTTTACTATACAAATAAAAATAACCTAGGTGCTGAACCATCCATATGACCTGAGAGAAAATTATACATTAAGGATGTATTCCAGAACTGCACGGCAAAAGGGCACATTTCAACTTAAGTTCCCAATGAGGGCAAAGGGGTATATACGCTGATGCTAACGTGTATAACACTTCCTAATTTCTAGTCTAACTTTAAAAATGGGTTGTTTTGGTCTGTTTACCGTGAACGGCAGTATGACACTTTTTATCTTCCCAGAGGCTACAAATGAATCATCTGTTTAACATTTTGACACATTTATCTAACAGGCTGTCTGTGACGTTGGATTTAATATAAAATTATTTTGAAAAACATGGCTTATGAAGTTTCATAATAAAAAAAGGTATTAAGGACACTGTTAAGGTTTCTATAAACAAATATGAATATTTTCAGTTTTAAATGTCAAAAAAAACCCACTTTAAAAATTAATACAGTAATAGCAAATGTATTTGCTATTAGGACCAAAATAAAGCCTAGATTGATCCTGTAAGCAACCTAGTTATGAACTGTCCAATTATAGTTTAGTGGGTTTTTGTTTTTGTTTTGTTTTTTTTTTTAGAAAATACTATCAGAAGCAGAAGATGCTTAAGAAACAAGTTCTAGTCAGATCTATCTCAGCACTGCTAAACTGGGCCGGCAACAAAAGCACTCACACACATTACCAATTTGCAACAGAATAATAAATTAAAATAATAATAGACAAAGTGTTACTTAACATTTCCTTCTCTAAACGTCATCCCTGGCAGGCCCCAAATGAGCCATTGGCCCAAAGAACCAAAGAACTTAGAATAATGTTTGGAAACGCTGCTCTTCCTTGTCACAGAGAATAGTCAGTCCATAGTGCGAAAACTGCTAGTATTTCACAAACTCCTAATATTTATTTAATCATGAAATACTAAGATTATTTAATCCTTTATGTTTCAGAGTTATGGAACAATGTAAGAAAAGGAAACTAACTAGTATGTGAATATCCTGTATATAAAGAGAAGTTATATTCAGAACACTGAGAAGCACTAATACTTTCTTCATGCTGCGTACATACTGGGAATAGTTTTACAGTAAATATGCAACAGTTTGATGGAAGTTAATTTCCCCCCACATATTTATAGTTTGATGACTCAGGGCACTTGAAAACACTTGCACATGAATTTAAATTTACAGAGAAAATTTACTCACCACCCCACACCCCATTGAAAGTAATCACTAACTTAACCTTTTCTTTAAAAAAAAAATCAATAATTAATATAGCACAATATGACTTAATACTTTTTTCATCATCATGCAAACCTTGCCCCCCAAAATACTTAATAGTTGTGAAATTACATCATTCCCGCAGTAAACTGCAGTACAGATTTTAAAATTTCAGGTTAGGGCACTGCTAAGCCGGCCTTACTTTTCCATTTCTCCTACCGCTAACTCAGCACCTCCCGGGATGGGAGCTAAATGGATTATCCAATTTGTGTCCCCACTCCCTCCCCACCCAAGAGCAAAGACAAAAATTTCCCCAAGTGGTGGTAACTAAAAGATGAATGTGTTTACAAAACACAACTGGACATTTTTCCATCATTCTGGGATAAACCAAAATAAATTTTAAAAGTCTCATTTGGGAATTTCAAAGCTGAAAATGCTTTCAGCAAATTCTAACACCTCAGATGTTAAAAAAGCACATACTGTCGTTGATTATGACACCACTTGCCTTCTTTTGGATCTAAAAATTTTAACACTTGTATTTAACAGGTTTTTCTTCTGGGAAAGTTCTTTGGCATTCCAGTAAAAGCAATACTTTCAGCATAGTCACCTGCATCACACTGGAGTGACTGCTTTAATTTCTAAATCATCAATTAATGTAACCCAGGGAGACTGATGGCCTTGATACATTGTAATTTAGTCTTGCATTACTCCAGAGAGCTTGGAATTCAGGGCTTTTTTGGGCATCATCTAACCCCATTTCTTTTTACTACAATGGTTCCTGCTACAATGTCATAGGCTGTTCGATTATGCTGAAAAAACAGCAGTGTGATGAAAGCAGGGAAAAAAGAAGCAATAGAAAAATTCTTGATCAAAGCTCGTATAGTGGACCTAAAAAATTAAAGCAAAAAAAAAATCAGATGATTGATGTATACCAATGACATGTTAATTAGTAGTATTTTATCAAGTTTAAAATATATTTAAAACACAGTCAAAGCACAATTAAGAGAATTTTTAACTTTGATATCTGAACTACTTTCAAGTAGCATTATGCTTATGATCAAACTACCTGGGGTAGTTGTAAAGCCTTCGTAACATAAAAGTTAGACTTTAGAACTTTCACATGAAAGACCACAGTAAGTATATCTTAGAATGTGAAATAAAGTTTATAGTATTTTGCCAGAAGAGAGTAGCCGTTCCCCTTTACTTACCTTTCCTATCGTCACTCATTACTTTTAGTATCTCTACTTTTCGTGTGTTTTCACTGTCTTCTAAACTGAGTGTGCTTATTGCAGCCCCATTTTCTACCTTCTATGAAGAGCATCAGCATTTCAGATTTCTGTATTCTTTTATCAGCTCTCTTCTTTTTGGGGTCCTGTGATTAAGGAATGCTTTAAAAAGCTTTCAATGATAGCTCAATGGAAAGTTACCCTACTAGTGTTGTGTTTCTGCCTTTCAGTGCAGTGAACAGCTGCAGAAAAGCACAGTGGGCTCTGAATCCAGACTAGATGGTTTCAGATTCATTTCTACCAACTACTAGTTGTGTCCCACATCTGTAATAAAAAGGGTAATAGTGTCCAGAGAACCTATCTTACAAGGTTGTTAGGACTGAATTAGTTAATACATACGCAGTGTTTTTAACAGTGCCTGGTATATGAGGTGCTCAATAAACATTAGCCATAAAAGTAACAGCCAAGATTACTATAATCACAGAAACGTAAGGGAATTTTCAAGATGTCAGTGAAATCAAGGCTTCTTCTAGAGTCTTTTTTGTTTACATTTACGTAACAACCTAACGCTGAATCATGCTGGCGGAATTCCAGCCCGTATTGTTCTGCTCAGCCGATGACCACCTCCTCACCTCCACAACTTCCATGATCACCGTTGTACCTCCCCCCAGAGACAGATGCCACAGCTGGCCATGAGTACTGGGGGTATTACAAGTGCTAGCACTTAAGAGCAGGAGCAGGGTGCACACACGTATAGTTGTCAGAACTCTTACTGCCAGTTCAAGATGGGATAATGACAGGTATTACTAAACGGAGGCTTCAAGGCAGGTAAGTCACTAAACCCAGCATCCACAGCCCTAGACCAGGAAAGCTAGGCGCGGGGCACTGACAGGGACGGCGTCCACGCCCGAAGCCTCTCACTGTCATGACTTAACAGTTCATGAAATGCTTAATCTTTAAAATGTATACTGAAGAGGGGTCTACACCATAATTGAAAACACTCAAACTTTTATTGAATAAACTATTACCATTTGTTATATGCCATGAAGAACCAACATCTTAAAAAATACTGTATCAAATGGTGTAAGTTATGAATTATACTGATTACTATACTTAAAAATTATTTTCATAAGTACACAGTAGATCAAGCTAAGAAAAGAACTTACGTTGTAATGCTAACATTTGAGGACGGAATCACTAAAACACGACTTGGTGCGATAAGCACTGATGTGTCACATGTCACCACTCGAAGCCCTAGCAGGAACTTCCCTGGGGTAGCTCCACCTGCTCCCCAAATGCAAATTATCTAAGGAAAGAAGGATAATTTTAAAATAATTTACTGGCGCAAATACACCAATTTTAAAGGTAAATTTTCCTGCCATATGATTCATGTTTCAAAATTTTCAGGTTGAAACAATTTCATAGCATACTCAAAAGGTTTACCTTTTAATGCATTTCTGCAGGTGTCTATTTCAATACCACAAGATGTCTACAGTAATATTTCTCTATGACTCATTACATTTTTTAGCAAGTTGTTTCTATGGAAAAATCCATTTCAAGTTCCACAACCAATTTACAAGTATATTTTTGGACAACAAGACTCAAATGCCTTACAAAGAAATTGTGAAGCATCTCCACTCAGAAAGTTTTAACTTGAAAAGTATTATGTTAAAACTTGGAAGAAACAGACATTTGATAAAATGTTACATGATTATAAATTTACATTACTTTTTTGTCTTGGGCTGATAATCTAAAATTAGATTGTTAAACATTAGTATTTGCTCAAGTCAGCAGCTTACCTCATAGAAACAAACTAATAATCTGTATATAAGAGCCACAACCATCATTTTCTGCAAGTCTTCCATTGATGTGTCTTCATCTATTTCTTCTATTATATAATGCATAGCAAACTTAGAGATATCCCTACACAAAACAAAGTTTTGGTTTATAAAGAATTAGTTACCAGAGCAGATGCACTGATTTTTTCCCCATTATTGTAAATCTAAACTTTAACTGAAATCCTAAACTAATTTTTACATTTCCAACCATCTAGTTTTGCAGAGCATTCATTAGCTTATTCAACAAATAAGCAGCACTATCATGAGCAGGCACTGTACCAGCCCTGGGGACACAAGGGTAAGTGAATTCAACATGGTGTCTGCTGTCCTGGAGATAACTTGTAACCAAGCAGGGAAAGCAGAGTAAATAATAACGAAGTGGGATAAGGGCTGTAACAGGGAACTGTAAGGTACTTGGAAACACACCAGGCACACCTAACTTCCTGAAGGCTTCTCAGAAATGACATTTAAGTGGAGATCTGAAGGATGAAGAGAAGTTAGCCAGACTAAGAAGGGAGAAATTCTAGAGAGAGGGACTAATGAGAGAAAGCCTTAAACCAGGACTGTGATGGAAGCTGCAAGCAGCTGAGGCTCAAATAGTGTGAGAGGTGACAGTGATTAAGAAATAAGGGGATCTGTTAAAACACATGAAGACATTTAAGACTTGTCCTCATAGCAGTGAGAAACTATTGAAGGGTTTTAAGGCAAGAGAGTGGCAGAATCAGAATTTACGATCTCTTTGGTTTTATGTCAGAGACTAAATTCAGATAACCCAGGAGACAGGAGACTGAGATACCAGTTAGAAGCCTTGTGTTGTAATCCAAGCAAGTGATGACTGGACTAGGGAGAAGAAATGATGGAAAATGGAATTCTGACAGTGAAGAGGAAATGGTATGGACTGAAGGTTGTTCAGGAGATTGAACAGAAAGAAACTGATACTTGCCTGGATGTGCAGGGAGTAAGGGAGGGAGAGACAGGGAAGGGCAAGGGGCCTGAAATTAGACTACCAGTGTTTGAACTTGACTGCCACTTACTACTCTGTAACTCTGCAAATTCTGGGCTTAACTTCTTTCCTGTAAGCACAAACTTCAATCTCTATAAAATGGAGGTATTAACCTCTACTTAATAATGGTGGCAAGATTAAGTAAGAATCCCTAGAGCTGAGCACGTAGAAAGCGCTTAGCAAGTGATAACTGCTATTAAGCTGAAAGGAAGCTTATTCAAGTAAGTGGCTCACTTTGCAGGTCACTTGGAACTTGCCTGATAGTGTAAGCAACCCTATTTGGAAATGCCACCTAGCTGATTATTAACAGTTCATATACTAAAAACTCTTCATGCTTTTGTCTTCAGACACTTCACTCTGAACACAATTCTAAGAGGGAAATTAGTAACTGGCCCAAGAAAATAGTGAATAAAATTAAACCAGGTTTGGAAATTCCTTTTACCTACTTTTTTTTTTTGGTGCTGAAACCGGGAACTAATTTTAACTACTTTTGATAGGTGAAATTCTCCCACATCTTGCACAATTTATTAAGTGTTTTTCTCTCTTTTGTAGTTATTTCTTAAAACCAACAAGAAAACAAAGCTGACAAAGCTCTTATAAAGAAATTGTTGACAATGGCACACAGATTATCCATAAAGGCACTTGCAAGGCATGAAAAGAACTTAACAAAGCAAGGATCTCTAGATAGCAGACATTAAAACCTTTCTGCAAATGGCCTTAACTTACTTTATTCCACTGAGGTGCATAATCGTTAAGACAATGGTTGCTTTTATAAAGAAGAGAATAAAGAAATCCACCATCTCTGCCATAAATCTGTGGGCCAACGATGGTATAACATACTCTCTGCCTGTAAATTAAAAAAAAAATTAGGAAAACTAATTGCTCATAGTCCTTGGAACTCAAGCTAGGTAATGAACGGGGAATATAAAGTCAAGGTACAACTTACTGTACCTTTGCAACTGTAACTTTGCAACAAATATTGGTATTGACTCCAATATATGTTAAAATACAACACCACTTCACTATTTACTGGGCAGTTTAAAGTTTGTTTTTACCCTCTTCACGTTTAAAAATAATTTCACAGATAAATTGTCTAAGGTACTCAATACATTTCACTGGGGATTCAAATGAGAATTCAGGTGATTACAAGCTTATGACAAAAACAGTTTTTAGCAAAATATCAATAGACAATTAGAACAGTCATTTGTTCTGTGCTCTTCATCTCAGCCCTTACTCATTTAGTTTGTCTTGCTTTCTATGTAACAAATCATGATTATCAAGCTGCCATCCTAAATTCTGAATCAAATTCAGGCAACTAGGTCTTGTCCCATATTACCTGTGCCTGAATAAAATAGTCTAAATAATAGTAAGTGTAAATAATTCAAAATATTCTAATTCCCATACAAAAGTAAACAAGAAGATTAAGCCAGAGCCCAAAGGTTCAAAACTCCGTTTGAATTCATGTAAATCTCCTTTTACAACCGTCAACTCCTTTGTCCCTAATATATAATACATAACAATTATACTCACACACACACACTACATTTTACCCATGTTATATCTCCTGTAATATATATAATTAATCCACGTTTGGATTATTTCCAGCATTACCAGTCAAAACTTGCCCTCCTCCCAAAGTGGGTTCGTCTAAGAATTAAGATTTGAATCTCACTTCAGAGCGTGGAGACAGAGTAAGAGGATGGTTTGAGGGGCAAAGATTTTTTTACACGTGGAAACAACTAGTCCTGGGAGTAAGGGAATCAATTCGGAGCGCCAGGTCTAAGGGAAGAAGGAACTATAGCTTCGCTTCAGTTCACTAAATTTACTTTGGGAATTTAAGGCCTTAGCCTACGACAGCTGATCCACGCGGAGAAACCCCACTGCGAGCAGCAGCAGCAGTTACAGCGGTGAACAGCCTGCCTGCTCGACCCCAGCTCGTTCCCTGAAGGGCCTTCTCACCTGCCTGCCGCCCGGTCTCGCTCGGGGCTCGCGAAACGGCCGCAGATCCTCCCCT